TAAACCACTGAAAAACAGAATGATAAATATGGTGAGCACATAATGATAAATATGGTGAGCACATAATAACATAACATTGAAGTTGTAATGTTCAATCAACACACTGCAGCCATCTGCATATGCGTAAACCACTGCTGCTCTACAAACCTATATTACCTGGATAATTATTCTGTTCTATCATCAGTGAAAACATGCCTATGAGGCATCCTTACTTCCCTCCATTGTTTTGGTGATATTTCTCATCTTCACCCTACTGCCATTCGGATCTTTATTTTATACTTCACACCCAAAAAATGAGTCTGTGGTGGAGTAAGTTGACCATGCCTTCTCGCATAATTATTCCAATTAAAAGTAGCCTTTTCTTGGTCTTTCTTTTAAGCAAATACTAATAGTTGAAAGAGGATAAACCACAACGTCGGTTCGAACGAGACCTCCGTGGAACCATCTAGCTAAAATGACACCGCCAGTAATCAACAAAAATAAAACAATTTTTGAGAGCTCATCACAGAGCAAAACAGAAAAGATTTCTAAATCTGAAAACTCAAATTAAACAAATATTAGAGACTCCATGGCGTAAATTGGAATGGATAACAAAGCACACTTATAGGAAATAAACAACATGTATTCATGTGAACAGAAGTTCCATATTCAAAGCCAAAAACTGATATGTTGGGTTTTGAAGAAGATTCAAACATCAGATGTACTGAAACTTACATCTGAACCACACCATAGTTGGTCCACGGAATGCCTCTCCACTGCCTCCGGTAGCAGCACCATTTTTCAGCAGCAGCAGCCTCGCCTCATCAGCTGATGGAGGTAACATCAAGCACTCACGCTGATTTTGCAGAGAACAACAGTAAAACCTACAACTATCAGTTATGAATAATAATAAAAGGGTGGGATCAATTATTTAGAAACAAGTGAGCACCTATTATTAGAAAAGCCGGTGCATCACATTTATCTCTCCTCTTGCAAATTGTAAAAAAATTGAGCAGTGCAAATTGTAATTAATATCACTGAACAAGAATACTATAGGATTATTGATTTATTCGTGCGAAGACAAACATGATAAGTCACCTGAAGCATCTATGTTAATTTAGGTGAGAGCAAATCAGTATGTTATGCAATAGTTTGATACCATAAAAAACAGTTGGAGAATGATCAAATAAAGTTATTACCCAGCAGCGCCACCTGATGTTCTGTGTTCAAGAGCAGTGCAAACATAGGCCGATGTGTATAACAAAAAAAAAGTTTGCATCCAAGGATAACACAGGAACATACGTGATTGTGTGTGTGAGAGAGAGAGAGAAGAGAGAGAGAGAAATATCCTCTTCTTTCTCACATCTGCACAAATTGACATAGATCAAGAAATCGAAAAAAGATTGGGGGAGGCAAATGACGAGGTCATACATAGGCAGCCCAGATTGGGGACGGGGACGACGGCCGGCGCGCAACGGACGACCACTCATCCACTCCAGCGGCACGCCAACGTAGATCCTGGAGCTCCAACCTTGCTTCTCCTTCCCCCATCGCTATCCTCCTCCCTCCTTGCTCCACCACGCCCACCATGAAGATCATGCAACCCATGCTCTTGTATGGTGGTGACTTGTGCCCAATCTAGAACGTGGGGAGGAGAAAAGCGAAGGGGAGGAGAAGAGGCACTGCTCCCCTCCTCCTGTCGAGTCCTCCTCGAGGGCGAGCTCCTCCTGCGAGGCCGGATCAAGGCCGACGGGCGCCGGCAGAGCACGGCCCGGCCGAGGCTGAGGCGGCGGCGGCGGCAGGAGGGGAGGTGGAGGCGGCGGCGGCAAGAGAGAGAGGAGGCGGCTGCGGGGCGCGGGCTAGGTCTGGCTGCCTTTACTTTTTTCTCTCGCGGCGGCTTCCCTTTTTCTTTTCTCTCGTGCCCGCTCGCCCAGGTCGCCCGCTCGCTCGCTGCTCTCTCTGAGCCGGGCACCCAGGAGACCGACAAATGGGCCCGATGCGGCTGAAGCTGAGGCGCCGTCGCCGGGTGCGAACGAGGACGGTAAAAAACGCCCTGACAATCCACGATCGATTGGCCACAGCCCACGAGCGACCTGCCCCTGCTTTTCATCCACAGAAGCACGCACCATCCATGCGTCGCTGCAAGGCTGCCCTACGTCGAAACGTGACCCACTCGTCAGCTGCTCATGGGCCGATTACGGGGCGTACAAGAAAACGAGTGGTCGGATACTTACCAGGTCAATGAAAATTACTGTTACGACGCCAGCGAGGCAAAGCGTGCGTGCAGGATCGTTTTGAAATCGCGATGGCGCTGGATGGGCGGGTACTCTAGCAGCTTTTATATGTTAGATGAAGTGTTGTCCACTTGTTTCTATTTATATGTTTGCAAGCGAGAAATTTCTTGGCGAGTGATCATGTACATGTTACTTTTGACCACACAAAAGTTTCAATACGGCTCGCCCGTTTATGTTACCTTGTTTCCGAGCCCTCGTCTTTCATGTGCTCGCTTCACCAGCTCTGCAGCTTTCGCACACCACCACCTTAGTCTCCCTCGGCTCCTCCATGAGTCCACCTCCACCCACACAACGACGAGGGTGGTAGCCTCGGATCTTAGGTGTCGCGCGAAAGGGGGGTCACCATGGATCCCATGGGCACAAGTTAGATAGAAGCAGTGGATCTCACGGTCGCTAGTGACACCACCTCCACTCCCTCTCAAATCTCCACGCCTAGAACGTGTATCTCCTCTTCCAAAAATGGGAAGTGAGATGGAGGGTTGGCCCAACATGGCTTTTTAGGAGTGTCACTAATAGCTAGTCTATTCCCTTTTGTAAGAATCTTTTACATGTTGTGTCAAAGTTAAGCTTGGTTAAAGCACCACTTGTAGTGTGCATAGAGGGGAGGAGGGTTTCTTTGCCCCAGCACATATAAGTGGCATCCATTTATGTTCAAAATTCAAAATATGAGTCGACAAAATGTCAAAAACAAGTGGTACAAGAATAAGGTATTGGTATAAAGTAGGTATCTCCAAATTCTTATAAAAAACTTCTTTTTTGCGCGTAATACCTACGTATAAGACAACAACAATGATGAGCTAACCCATATTGCAGTACTCTTTATTTTTATTTTATAATATAGGCCACAAGAATGCAAAACATTGCACGGAACTTAAAATATGCACATAATACTCAGTCGTCTACATGTTTTGAATTCAAACTGAAAGAACGGGATTTTTCTTTTATTCAACATTTTGGGTGTTGCTAAATGTGCATACCGCACATGGCTCCGCCACGCCACGAGCTGGATCAAGCTCGTGCGTCGTCGGATGTGCTTCCATTCGGGCACAGAACGGGAAATATATTGCTGAGCCTAGAGCATGTGCTGCGTACAACTTGTGTGTGCCCGTAGCATAGTCACGAAAAGGTGTGAGGGAGATCTATAGTCCACGAGATTAGATTAGCCAAGGTCACCACTAGGCGCCGGCGCACCGGCCGAAACTTTCGGCCGGTCCAGCCATAGCCGCTCGATGCGAGCCGCGCGGCGGTTGGATCTGGAGCCAAAAAAAATAATAAATCGCCCCAGCTTCTTCTTCCTCGGGCCCCGTGGCGCATCTCCGGCGAGATCCCCTGCGGCTCGCAGCACGGCGCATCTCCGGTGAGATCCCCCGCGGCTCGCAGCACCGCGCAGCTCCAGCAAAGGCCCCCGCGGCACATCTCCGGTGAGGCCCAGCTCCAGCCCCGCGGCGCATCTCCGGCGAGGCCCAGCTCCAGCAACGCCCCCGCGGCGCATCTCCGGCGAGGCCCCCCGCGGCTCGCGGAGCCTCACGTCACCGGCCGCAGCACCCGTTGTAGAGCTCGTGTTGTTCCTCATCCTTAATTTGCCAGTCGCAGCAAAAAATTCCACCGGCCGTAGCAAAAATTCTTGACGGTTCCAGCAAATAATAAAACGTTGGTAGCAAAATTAGAAAAAATCGACGACACTCCAACAACCCAAAAACCTGATGGTAGCAAAAATTGAAGCTTGTTCCAGCAAATCGAAACGCTAGTGGTAGCAAAAATAAAAAATCGAGCGCTGGTTCCAGAAAAATCAAAGAAGTCGGTGGTAGCAAAAATTGACACTGGTTGCAGCAAACCACAAAACGGTTGTAGCAAAAATAACTTGTGGTCCAGCTAGGGGCTTCTCCAGTAGTAGCAAAAAATGTAGAAGGTTGTAGCAAAAACAGTACAAGGTTGTAGCAAAACACACAAGCACAGGGTCTCGACAATCTCATGAAAAAGGATGTAACAAACGACAGTGCCGGTAGTAGCAAAAAACCAAAACTGTTGTAGCAAAAAAGTGGTACAAAAATGATTCCAGCAAAAAGACATGGCAGCAAAATTTGGTTAGTTCCAGCAAAAAACAAAGACGATGGTAACAAATTAGTACACTGGTTCCAGCAAAAACAAACATGGAAGCAAATCTGGAGTTGTAGTAACATACCTCGAGCTCGTAGCCATGGCCGCCCTGGCCTGTGAGCTCGCAGACCATGGCCCCCTGTCGTAATAGCGCCGGTGCTCAGCCCCGTCGCGTTCGGCCATGGCGATGGCATCCCTTGCAGCAGCAACAACTCCCGCGGCGCCGCGCTTCGTGGGTGAGGGCGCCCGTGCAGCAACTCTACAACAATGGCGTCTGAGAAAAAATAGATAGGCAGAAGCAGCGGCGTGGGAAATCCAGGCAAGAAAGGAAGGAGATGTGGTGTGTGTGGACAGCAGCCGCGCTGAAAAGGATAAGGAAGCAGAGCGGTGTGCAGGCCCTCGCGGGATGACGTGTCTCTCCTACTTTAGCGCTACGCGCGGGGTGAGCGAGTGGACCGGCCGAAGTTTCGGCCGGTGCCCGGCTGTAAACGTTTCCCATTAGCCAAAGCCAAAAACCAGAATCACACACCACCCGGAGAACTGAGCTGAGATACTACTTCTGTTCTCTTCTCCCCCCTTTTCCGAGCCCCCCACCCGTCATCTCTCCAGCCTCCAGTCTCCGCCGACGCCATGGGGCAGGTCTGGGCGTCTCTGCAAGAGAAGCTCCAAGGTACTCCACCCCCCTACGCCGTCCCTTCGATCTCCGCCCCTCTTCCTCTCGGAAACTGAAGCACGAATCGAATTGGTGCAGGGCGGCACTGGAAGGAGAGGCAGGTGCGGAAGATCACCGACAGGGTGTTCGACCGGCTCACCGAGGATACCCAGAAGCCCGAGAAGGACGCCCTCAAGTTCGAGGAGGTCTACATCGCCGTCCTCTGCGTCTACAAGTACACAGCGGAAACGGGCCCGTTCCTCTCAGCCCCTCTCTGTTCCTGCGAATTCTTGTTAGATATGTTCCTGAATCCTGACTGGTTCTTGTTTTTTTTTTGTCGGCAGTGACATCAACAAGTACTTGCCGGGGCCGCACTACGACCCTCCGTCCAAGGAGAGGCTCAAGGAACTCATGAAAGTAATCACAATCTCCCCTTCCCCTTATCCAATTTTTGTGACTTATTTTGGTCAACTGGATATCGTGTTCTTCACCTGTGCATTCTAATTGAAGCAAAGTAATCTTGGTTTCTGCTTTTCGTTCCCTGAACATGTCAAGCATACTCTTTATATAGATTAAGTAACTATCATGTATTCATGTGCACGGAAGAGGATTTATGGCTCTCGAGAGCCACACACCCCTATACCAATATAGCATTAAAAAACATATTAAGAAATTTCAGAAAAAAAAATGAAACTTTGAGATATGAAACCTGGGTGCCCATCGTACACCCGTGTTCAGTTTCGTGGGGAATGGGTACCCGTGGTAATGTCAGTATAAAAGACAACAAATTCGCATGTATAGGGAAAAAAATTGGATGTAGATGTAATTCCTGCGCCGCAGATACCACGGGTACCTATTCCCCGTGAAAATGAACATGGGCGTACAATGGGCACCCAGGCCAAAATTTCAGAATTTTTTTAAAATTTCCTGATAACTTTTTTGAAGAGAAACTTGTCCAACATCGTCTGAGATAGTTTGGGCATATTCAGCGCAGGCCTCCAGAAACGCCAGTGCATAGCGGACGGCTAGCATGCTGATAATGTCAAGAGAGGTCGGGGTAGACCAAACTTGACATGGGAGGAGTCCGTAAAGAGAGATCTGAAGGACTGGAGTATCACCATAGAACTAGCCATGGACAGGGGTGAGGGGAAGCTTGCAATCCATATGCCAGAACCATGAGTTGGTTGCGAGATCTTATGGGTTTCACCTCTAGCCTACCCCAACTTGTTTGGGACTAAAGGCTTGGGTGCGTGGCACCCGGGTGCTCCAATGCATTTCCCTCATGTGCACTATGTTATCTATGATGCGCCCTTTATGCTAAAGTTAGTAGTATTGTACAGAAGTCTGAACTTATCACCCAGATAGATCTGAATACCTTTTTCTTGCCCGTGGAATTTTCCATTGTTTTATGTGCTCTAGTCTGTGATGCTGTCATATGGAGTGTATTTGTAGTTAGTACTGTTCATAACTGTGGACTTAACTAGTCACCTTGATACCTCCAGGCTCCAAGTATCTTTCTTTTCTGTCTGACGAAATGTGCAATGCTACAGCTTTGGTTTCTATAGACAAACAAGTTACAACTTTGATGGATATCTCAAACACGCAGGAGTTTGACATCGACATGAACGGTCTCCTGGATCGCGAGGAGTTCGCGGAGTTCATCCGGAAGCTGACCGCCGAGTCACTCTGCGCGATCAGCCTCAAGCTGATCATCACGCTGGTCGCCGCCCCTGCGCTGGCGCTGGCGACCAAGAGGGCAACCGAGGGCGTCCCCGGCGTCGGCAAGGTAGTGCACAAGGTGCCCAATGCCATCTATGCCGCCGCCATCACCATGGCTGCCGTGCTCATCCAGAGATCCGCCGAGGGCGTCGAGTAGAAGCGGCATCGCGCCGTGAACTGTAGATGCACCAGGCAACCAGGGAGGGTGTAAATGTGCTGTGATTTGCCGTGTGAAGGGTGATGCCCTGTGGGACTTATAGTTTTCTGTAATATCTTCCTGTCTGTGCTTCTTGGTGTTGCTAGCCTGGTGTGATTCAAAAAGACAGTATTCGCTGCTTGTTGACATGATAAATTCTTGGACTAAATAAAGCCGTGGTCCTGCTACGCCTGGCGGTGCTTTGCTGCTTCGAGATTGCCCTTCTTTTGATGGACCATATGTTCCTTTTCTTTCAGTCTCTTAGCTCTTTTTCTTTTGAGAGGTTCAGTTAATTCTTTCCGGCCATTAAGAGAACATAGTTTCTGCTAACACAGTTTCTTTGAGAAATATTGTGTGAACACAGTTTTGTAGCGAGTGCCGCCTGATGGGAAAAGATAGTAGGCCGGCCACTGTGCAGCTCACTAATGCAATAGAGAAGTTTGAATATAAATGTTAAAAATAATGCAATAGAGAAATTTGTATATATAAATTAAAAATGCTCGTGTTCCTAGAAATAAATGTTCTTACATGCAAAAAAAGTTGATATCAATTAAAAATTGTTCACCATGAATGGAAACTTTTTATTCATATATCTTTTGAAAAGTTCATGTATTTCAGAAAAAATTGTTCGCGCGTGTTAGAATATATCGTTCATGAAACGTTTATAAAAATGTTCACATATGTCCCTCCAGAAATACAAAATATAAAGAAGAAAAAGGAAATACAGTTTTTTTTGAAAAACGGCAGGTTGTGAAATATATTTAGGGAAAGTACTGAATACATCCTAATACAACCCCATGGTGCTTCTCTAAACAGTGAGTAATATACAAGAATTATTTCAAAACTTTTAAAATGCCAAAATGTTATTTCCAAAATTTGAAAATGCTATGAGCGCATTGCTCAGGTAACCTTGCTTGCTGGTTTTCTTTTCTTTTCTGCTAATGCCGGAAACACAGCAATGAAGCTGCATCGAATATGGATATATCTCGGTGGAATAATACATGCTTCGCCATTTCTCCGAAGCTAACAATTATTCCTTTCTGTTGCCTTTTTGCCCCTTTTGGAATGACTTACGAAATACATATGTCTTAATAGGATAGATACTACAGGACTCACCATTTTCGTGAAGGAGACACCGGTTCCTTGTTGATGTACTCCCTCCGTCCGGAAATACTTGTCGCAAAAATGGATACAAATGGATGCATCTAAAACTAAAATACATCTAGATACATTCATTCCTCCGACAAGTATTTCCGGACGGAGGGAGTACCTTGTTTCCATTCTGAATGATTGTGTTTTCTCGCTTGCAAAACTAATACTCCCTCCGTCCGAAAATACTTGTTGAAGGAATGGACGTATCTAGACGTATTTTAGTGTTAGATACATTCATTTTTAGTCATTTTTACGACAAGTATTTCCGGACGGAGGGAGTAGATGTCAAAATGTTTTTTCATTGTCAGGACAGTGATTAGTTGAGTTGTGAATGACTCCCTGCTGCATAAAAAGTTGAATCCATCATGTACATAACCTAAACCTGATAGCAATCAGTTACAGTCGGGTTCTAAAATCCTACTGAAGATCCCAAGCACAGAGACAGTTCTAGCATAAAAAATTCTCCCTGACATGCTTTAAGCTAAGGATAAGAAGGTAAATAAACTGCCCCATAATTTCCGGATCAGAGTAGGTGGTCAAATTAGGCGGCAGCAGCAACCATAGCCGCCCGAGCAGTCGTGAAAGTCGAGATCAGTGCCCCAAGCTGCAGTTTGTTGTTGCAGGCGAAGGTTAGCCGATACCTGCACAGAAATGATGTCAATAACGTTGCTGACTGTTTGAAGAGGCACTGCCAAAAGAATTATCTGACTTTTGGTCCCAGTATTTTAGGAATAGAACGATTCAACAAGTCAAAAGGGGAAAAAAATCGTAGCTCATTCCTGATGAATATTTCCAAGGATCATTTCAGATCATATAAGGGCTCCAGTACAGTACAAAACCCAAATATTCCAGATAGGCAAAGGTTTTCCTATGTGCAATTGCTTCGTTGAAACTACCACATTTTTCACTTTCTGAAAATCAACATGTTGGACGTGTAGAGAACACACATGCCAAGTTAACCAAATACTCCCTCCGTCCCAAAATTCTTTTCTTAGATTTGTCTACATACGGATGTATCTAATACTAAAACATGACTTGATACATCCGTATTTAGACAAATATAAGACAAGAATTTTGGGACGGAGGGAGTACAAATTATGCTTTGGAGTGTGGCACTGTTTCGGCAACATGATTTGTGTCACTTGTTGCTTTGCTTAGTTGACTAAAGTCTACAGCCTAAAGGAATGACCATACTCACCAAGCCAGCCTGGCCATAACATTACAGTTACTGAGCTATGGTTAGTACTTCTTGTGTGAACTAAAATGACTACCGGAATGACACAATAAGCATAAATCATGTCATCAGAACAAGTAAGGTAATTTAACTTGTGAGAAGTGAGCACACAGTGTTACTGTTACAGTTAGGTGTCGCGATTTGAGCAGAATCATCAGCAAAATATATCTAATCGATGACAACTTTGGTTAAAATTGAACTTTAAAAGTATAAACACGACATACTCAATATCTGCCAAATCATTAATCAACTTTACTCGTACATTGGATGGCATATTAATTTTGAACACAAACCTGCAAAAAAAAATTGAAATAATTAAAAGGAGCCTTAGTAGGATTTGGAGAATAAGGAAGCTTAGAAGGAACGAAAGGGAGAGAGAGCACTTACATAGTGACCTCTCGTATGATATCAATCAAGGCCAGACCTTTTCTCATCTTCGTATCAGATATATCTGAAAAGATAAGGATACAGATTGCACATTAAGCACACATTTAGATCATGAATTGTGAAAGATGGTAATGGTAATTAGGAGTACATTTAAAGCTGGTTGAAAATGGTTCATTTAGTAACCAACTCGCTATCTGCTCAATATCTTTAGGCATGGGGTTTCCCGTGCAAAGGTAGACAGCTTCTTCTGTTATTTGTGGGGATGCCATGTGTGTTGACTGCATATAAAAGGCAATGCATCTCAGTATCAAAACAAAGGTACATCAGCTCATGGAACAAAACAATGGATAACAATACAGCAGCTTCGAAATATATAAAAAAAACTTGAGATTATTCAGACGTAACCTGCAATATATTCAAAGCCTTCCTCATGTCACCGTTACTTAACCGCACGAGGGCTGTCAAGCCACCCTTGTCGACATCAAGTCTGCAAAAACAAGCATAAACCTAGTGTTGTCATACTCAAATATATAGAGAAATAAAAATAAAAATTACTGACTTCTAAAGTCCCAACAGAGTACTGAAGGAAGTTAAGGATAGGAAACTGAGGAACCAGACAAAAGGTCCAGATTCCTAACATAATCTTACAAGAAAAAGGTAAGTTCTTACCCCTCAGATTTTATTACATGTTGGAGACGCTCACTAACATTAGTGCCATCAAGTGGAGCAAATCTAAACCTAGTGCACCTTGATTGTAGTGCTGGAATTATTTTGTTCACATGGTTGCATATCAGTGCAAACCTTGTGCTCCTTGTATACTTCTCAATGACTGGAAGTAGGATAGAGAAGTTCAAAATCCTGACCATATGAAGCGAAGCCATACTACATGACTAATCCACCAAATCTATACACCATATTCAACTATCATGTGGTAAAAATCGTAGAGGTAGTGAGGGCCAGAGCCAAGGGGAGAGGGGCACTCACTGGTGTCCACGATGTCGCGGTGGGCGGCGACGTCGGCGAGGGACTGGGGGCGGTACTTCTCGACCCATGGCGAAGATTTGACGGCAGCGGCGGCGGAGAGGGTCGCCTTGCCCTTGGTGGCCGGCCGCACGGCGGCGGCGTCGGCGTCCATCGGAGCCGCGGCGGTGGTTCCGGCCATGGCGCGGCAGGAAAGGCAGAAATCGGGGAATGGACTGGTCAGTGTTGCGGCCCGCTTGAGGAGGATTACCTCTGGGCTCCAGCCCATTTACGGCCCAAGACGTTACAGCAAGTCCAGCGCAGATCCGGGACCTCCTAACCGACAGCTAGTATACCCCTCAAAAGAAAAAGAAACAAGTCCATTTTTCACCCCAAAATGTAGCCTGAGGGACAAATACCCCTTGAACTCAAAGTTGGTATGATTTTAACCCCCAAATCATTAAAACCGGGTAAATCTCCTCAGATGGTTTTACTTCAATTTTAGCCGGTTTTGGGGCCAGAAGTGTGACGTGGCATGGTATTTGGGTGTGCAGACATAGATAGTTAGCTTGCCTGCTCGTGATGCACGTCGTTTGCCATAGCGCCGCCTCCTGTTTGCGCCGTTGTTCCTGCCATTCCTCTCACACAACGTGCTCCTCGAGGGTGCGGCGACGGCGACGATCTTCATGGTCTACGAATAGACCGACGCGTGGTGGGACGGGCTGACGGCGCCCCCGATGCTTTGCCACCCGACGTTCCTCTCCCGCCGGTTGTCCCTCCGGTCTGTGGCCGCGGCTGGGCGGCTCATCCTCGTCGTGGGGTTCACGCAGCCGCTCGTATTCGACCTGGCCGCCATGCCCATGCTGTAACATCCCCAGCATCACCCTACAGTGATCTCCTCTTAATCATGACAAGTCATCATCATTGCAATGCTTGATCACAATGGTGAAACATCTTATTTCAAAATCCTTATCTGAATTCAAATTCAAATGCAAGTGGAATTTGAAGTTGCTCAAATATTGCTGCAAAAATGTTCATCATTTGTCAAAAATTCCATAACAAATGATCGTTAAGGAAAACATCACCATATACTACAAAATGGTCCTAAGCATTTTAAACAATGCAAAACTAGCACTAATAATGCCATTTCCGTTATTAAAAATCCCAAATGGAATCAAAACGCGTCCAAACTTTTTATGGCAGAGCACATTATTCCCTAGTAATTTTT